TTATGTGTGACAAGATACAGGAATTATACAGGATAAATCTGAAATAATTGTCAGATTTTAGTGGAATATTATTCTATTAATTTTAAGGATAAACACAGATTGTCATGCAATGATCACAGTTTTTAAAAATCTTTCGAATTGTGCTAATAATGCTAATATTATGATAGTATTGTTATATTATTGGTTTTTTAATACCGTAATATTATATTTAATTCCGAACCAAATTCGTCGATACGCAATCTCTGACCGTAGCACTCTGTTTAGTTTAAAAACGTTGGAATTCCCGTATTATGCATGCGTCACGCGAAGTTCCTTCAGCAGTCAGGCTTTCGTGAACGATGATTAAACGATTAAGCAATCTCCAGGGCGCTAATGTAATCCGCTAACGCGAGAGATTAGCGAACAAATTGCGTATTATACGGGAGATCTCGGCTTTCCCCCCCCCCAAAACGGTAATTTCCGAAACAGGAGCAACTTAGGCTAATGCGAATGTCTTAATGAGGGGCGATATTGCGCGCGTGTGAGGTCCTTCCCTTGTTCGTGCCGCTTAAATCAGTATCGACTGATGAAGGGGATCGCTATAACCCCCGTTATATCATAATTCCAGCGGATTTGTTTCTCGGATATGTCACGGCACGCATGATGCAAGTTTTGACGCAACTTGACGCATGGATATACATTTGCATAGCCGCATAAACAGGCTTATGCTCGTTTATTAATATGTAATGCGTTTGATGCGCGCGACGTTGTTCGAAAATTATGCAATGCGACCCTCCCTCTACGATAATTTATTTATACACCGTCTTCTCGCAGTTCCTGAAGTTTCAACGTGAAACATCTTGATAACGAGTTGAGATTGTGTTATGTAAGTGAAATTAAAGTTGATATTAACCGAAAAGCTCTTAAACGAGAAGGATTATAAAATCTTTTTAATAAAAATGGAGTACTTCAACAATCTTACTACGTTGAAATTAACTGTTGCCGTTTTTCAGTTTTACAAATTTTTTGTAAATTACTAGAAAGATACTTAATTATGATATATATCTTAATTACTTGTTATAGAAACCTACACGTTCTTATTCTATTATTTGACTTTTACATAACTGGTTATGTAACTGTTTATTACGTAACTCTACGCATATGTATACTGATTTATTCGCTTTATTTTTACGAATTCCTGTTTATTCCAAACAAACAATCTATAGGTATATCAAATATATCGATTTTTCCTTCGTCGAACGAAAGACATTTTAATAACGACGTCTACGACAAAAGCACTCGGCTAAACGAGAAATGTTCACAAAAACGGGTCGGATTACCTGACGGTAGGTAACCCTCTGGCAGAGCGGGAGAGTTCGGAGGCTGTAGAGCTCAGCTCACCTTATTGGATTCCCGGGTTATCTTGGCCCAGTTCGAGAAATAATGCCACCCGGTCGAGTTTTCCCTTCGTTTGTTTGAGTTGTTTGACGAAGAAAAACGATATTCGCCGCCGCGAACTCACGCTGCGCGCCGGCAGTAAGGTTGGCATGGATTCCTATCTTCCGGGTTCCCCGTTCGTTCACGAATTTATCGCAAACTTTCGCCGGGAAAATTGCGGCATTGGATATCGTATTAATACACAAGCGCGTCAGAGGTATAGATAAGCCGATTATTTGAACGACCATTTTGTGTGTTATACCGTCATATCTCTCTCGCTCCGTTTCTGTTAGGCCGAACGTGTACCTATATTTGCCCACGAAACATGCTTTTTCTGCTCACATATTTTTATTGACCGCGGGTTGACGGTAAAAGCTCCAATGTATTTTCGAACACCAAGTTATCGTAACGAGGCGAAATGTAAACCGCAAGAGGATTGTTTTGGGCAATTTTATATTTTTTTTAATAGTATATATAAGTTTGATACTACTTTTGAACTTAATAATTCGATGCAGATAACGAAGATAATTATAGCGAGATTTATTCATACACGATAATTTTACAAGTGCAATTTGCTACTGGAACTTGTTTGACTCCGATTAAGAAACAAAAATATAAAAAAATAATGTGTTCAATACTAAATAAATCTTACGAATCTTAAGCATTTTGTGATAAGATTCTCCCTGCGAATAATGAGTTTCTATAAACATCGCTATAAAGAAAAATGTTTCTCGTCGGGGTCTACGCGCATACAAGTCCTGACATTTGACGCACACCTGTCAAAGAAAGATATATTCTTTGACAGATACGTGCTTCTCTTACCAAAATAATAACAACGCGTGGACGAAGATATATCGCAAGTAACGACAACGTGCTTTTCTCATGGCCGTAAAATATTTCTTGATATACCTGTGCGAGCGTCAGTACGCATTTATACCGTGTGACGAGCATTTCAAATAATTCAAATATAAAGTATGAATGAAATATATGGAAAAGATTACCCAAATATAAAAATACTCGAAGACATTTAAATAACAAAAACAAAAATAAAATTCAATAAAATCATGAATTACTTTATTATTACTTTTTAAAGTAGGGGAGACCGAGGCTAGTTGTCACACTTTTCAAATACTAATTTTTTAAAAAATGTTAACAATATTTTATAATATTGTATACTACTTTGTAATGTAGCTACATCCTTTAGGTGTAAGAAAAAAAATATTAGACTTGTATATATTTATACACAAAAAAGTTATTTAATTCTAAACAAAACCGCGCAAATGTGACAACTTATCCCATACCCAGGATTGGTTGTCACATGACTCTGGATTGATTGCCATGTATCTTTCATGTAGAAGAAACATATGACAAATAGTTCCTGTTTTAATATTTTATTAAAGTTAGTGCCAGTTTTTGGTAAATTTAACTTAATAATATATTGCAGCATGAATTAAACGAAAAATTAATAATTTTCATAAATTTTGTAATATAATTCTCATAAACTTAGAGTAAATGAAAGATTAATAATTCTCATAAACTTTGTAATACTTTCATAAACTTTGAGTAAATAAAAGAATAATAATTCTCATAAACTTTGAATCCTATCTCATTTGAGACAACTTACCCTGAACGGTTATTTTGAACAAAGAAGATTATATTTATAAACTATGTTGCAATGACGGTTAACTAAATACAGGACAAAGTATCTAAAACTATAATAGATCTTATGACCAAAAAGAAATTACGACTAGTAATTCCAAAAACCAACGGAACAATAAAAGTAAAGGCAAAAAAAATTTACTCACGACCTCCAATTTTTAAAAAGTGCTCGTAAATATTACATGCGATGTTTTTGAAACGAGCTATTTCGTACACCCGACTAACACGATAGAAGCAACCTACACTATAAAGAAGGAACTAAATATTCCACTCCAATCTATTAAGTGAGATGTAAGCTTTGTGACAACTTACTCGTGTGACTTCTAACCCCAATCTTCCCTAAAAGATATTTTTTTTAGAACGTTCTTCTTATTACGAGAGTTTTTGATAATTAGTAATGTTATATGTGGCTCCATTAACAAAAGCACACAAATTTCAAATATATTTAAATATGAATGTAAATATTTTCGGATATCTAAGTTAATCATTTCAATATTTTAGCTAAATAACAAACCGTTAATACCACGATTTATGCTACCAATAAATAATAATCAGCATACTATGAATATATGAATATATGAATATATTAAATGCTAATAATTATTATAATATGATAATGTTAAAATAATATCAATATCTAAACCGCATCATCTTGTTGCTATAGACTATAGATTAAGGAAAAAGTGTTTATTACATATTCACGTATAGTTGAGTAAAAAGTTGGCATCAAAGTACTTTCCTTATTACTCCATTCTGATCGTGGTCCCCAAAGTAAATTACATTTCGCCTTTTCGAAACGCGCGAGATTCCGATAAAGAGGCGGTTCATCGAAGCGAGGAAATAACCCGCGCCAAGAAGCATAGAGAGATCCCACAAAGGGCTGGGGCGCTATCATGACGATAGTGATAACGACGCGAGAGAGAATCCTACACGCTCTTTGACGATCTTCCCCGTCGTTTCTCGACCAACGAAGAGGTCATTCGGATCGCCCATAAAAGGATATTTCAAAGTTCTCCGCGCGGGGTATGGGATAAGACGGCGAGAATATTGAATTCACCACGACCAAATGCCACTCCAGATACGTCCAAAATAACGTTTACCGAAGCCGATTTTCCACCGACGTGGGTGGAAAGACGCAAAAGGACGTAATTTTACTTTTGACCGCCAAGCCTCTTTCTCTCGGGACGTCGCGTCGCGTCGGTTCGGATGTGTCAAGACTTGCAACGACGCCTTTGACGAGCAAATCGAATCGACGTAGACGGTAAAGGGCTGCAACCGCGTCGTTGCACTCGCAAGCGTTGAATTTGCCGTCGTGAATTGCGAGGCTCCATTGGCAGCTTGCCAAGGCAGATCTTTCGGTTACCGAGACTCGAATCGGAATTCGAATTTCCGATTTCAGTTTAAATTGTTTATTTTTCGGTCACCGGGATTTGTTCGTAAAATATCTTATATTTTAAGACTTTAAAAAATAACTATTTGGAATCATTTAGATAAAAACATAGATGTTTTACATACATGTTTAATACTATAGATGTCATGTAAAATTGTATATAATTTAACAATGTCAATAATATTTAATGATAATTTGTTACTATGAATTTCTAATAAAAGTTACTATACATATAATACTCAATATACAAATATATGCAAATAATGTACAAAATATATTTTTGTGATTAAATTTCCTTAACTTTCTCAAAATGCACGATAAAAAACATGCCGTTTCTTCCAAAATTTATGTTTTCTAACATTTTCATAATATTTTTGCGTAATACACTGACTATTGATTTATCACAAACGCAAAATTTTCGCTTCGAGGAGCCAAGTCTCACGGTTTGCCATATTTATTTGGGACGCCGTTCTCCACCCATCAACACGTAACTCCCTGATTAATGTTTTCTTTTGTGTGTTCCACGGGAGTGTAGTCTCCGAGTTCGCCCAGGAGTTGGGCGCCGCGATGGAGAGCCACTCGGCGAACGTGCGACGTCTGGTCGATGAATTTCGCAGTCGATCGGGCGACTCGAGAGTCGATGTCGGCGGTATGCGACGTGTTTGGGAAAGTTTGCTGCGGCAGGTCGAGGCGGACGCAGCTTCTCACCTCGATCTGGCCGCGGTGCTGCAGCAGCAACTGTCGAGGCCCACCTTAGAGGCGAGCTTCCACCGAAAGCTGCAATCTAGGAAGGTGAGCCTATCCCCATCATACGTACAATTTTTTTTTTCTAAATTTGTAAATTCATTCGTAAGTAAATTCCGTGAAATTGATGAATACCGTGATATTCCAAAGTAATTTCATTTGGCGGCACAACTCGTTATGCACTTACGATCTATCTGTATAAGCATTTCCTTTTACCGTGACAATGTGTTAACACCCGTATTGTCATCTTGCGCGATTACAATTGCTATTTCAAACTATCAAAAGACGCTTCGATTGCACCAGGTTCTCGACGAAGTTCGCGTTGCTTAGATATCGAGTCACGGGAAGAGACAAGTTCGCCGCAATTGCCGAACGCAGACGGTAAAGTTTCCCAAGCGACCCATTCGATTATTCGATTTCAACGTTGCGCGTTCCGAATGGCATTTCAATCCCATCAGGGAGCGTCTGTCTCTCCGGGTCGCACCGTCTAACCCGATCTCTCGCGTCCTATCCAATCTATAACGTGTATACCGCGTTTCTCAGGTATTCGCCCATCGCGACGCTTACGAGCAGGTAGTTAGCAAGACGGAGGAGAAGCTGCAGCGTACCAGATTGGATTACAAGCGCGCATACGCCGCGTTGTTAACCAACGAGGCCGGCGGCGGCGCCGAGCAGGAATTGAAGCGCGCTTACTTTGAGTCGCACAACGCCTATATTCTGCAGCTACGCGCCACCAACGCTATTACCGAGCGCTATCAGTCCCATTGTTTGCCGGGACTGCTCGGCGAGATTGCGGAGGTCTACGAGGAACTTTGCGGACTGGCCTGCAAGTGCGTCGCCGGGACCTCGGACGCGGCCGGGGAACGGTCCGGCGAACAGGCGAAACGTTATCAAGCCGTGGCCAAGGAAGCGCAGGCGATTGTACCGTCGAATGATCTACAGGTACCCTACGTTCGCTTTCTGAAAAGAATTGTTGAACCCGCGAGATATGGAAAACGCATATCCGAGCGCATATGCTTTTCTGTCTTCTTTTTCGTTTCGCTGCAAAATGTCTCAGGTGCTCCATTACGATAAAAACAAAAAGTAGTAAACAGTATATAGTTGTTAGCCACTCTACAATAATTGGCCACATCTTTAAAAAATTAATGATTATAAAGAAATACTAGTAAAATGTTTTTAATTATAAAAAAATAATAATTCTGATATTTTTGTATTTATAATTAAAAACATTTTAATAGTATTTCTTTATAATCCTTAATTTTTTAAGATGTGGCCAATCATTGTAGAATGGCCAACAACTGTACTGTTTACCCCTACTTCTATCTTGTTGAAAGATATAACGTGTGAAACATGTCCCTCCTTCTTGTCAGAGCAGTATCTGTTCAAATCGGCGGTTGCAGAAAAAAAAGCTATGCGATTGTCTTTAACTTATCCCTCTTCCGCGAGGTCAAATCTCTCGAGTCGGCGACATGACGACGGCGAGCGCGTCCACCGTGTCAATCTCGCAGCTCGATACGTCAATCGGAACCGATCGATCGTGCGCAGATATACGATGCTCGACGACGATGCGATTGTACGTATTCCGGATATATTGATCACGCAAGAGCAAATAGACGGTGCCGGGGCATATATCCAATTTCGGGATGGTGAGGTATCCGATGGCGGATTACAATCGTCGGTATTCGGTGAAGAGAGACTGAAAACAGGGCCGCCTGATTAAAGGCCGGTCATATTCGCTGTGCGGCGGGGCACGTGTCCAGGATATATTGGCCGCTCGAGATCACCGGACGCCGCGCTCGTGTGTACGTGTGTTTGCGCGTTACCGTGTACCTATGTGTACGGTGAGTTAACTTGTTCGGCTGACCAAACGCGCCGGCATTCACTGATTTGTCCTCCTTGAACCCGTCGGTCGATCGCGGGCCCTCGTCGGAAATACCGGTTTCGCTTAAATGCATGATCCCTGTCTGCGTCGCATTTCAAGAGATTATTAATGCCGGAACGATGACAGTGACACGACGAATACTTTTTTTTTCGGAATTTTACCTCGCGTTGACGGTTTTAATTCGAGATCCTTGATTTGTGACGAAAAGAGACAGATATTAAAGCTAGAGGTAATACATGTCCCACATAAATTTACGAAACGTGCTATGTTACATTATATGTGCATATATATATATCACACATTATATCATTCTATTTTCAATTTACACCCAACTCTCTTTTTACGCGGTTTTTCTACATAACGCGGGTTTTTTTTTAATTTTTATAATCTCTCATGTACATGTACAGTACAAACCTTAATTTTAATTCCTAATGACGAATTAGTGAAAATTTTTCAATCGGACACATGTGCCCTCATATTGTCATGTTAAAAAAGCGAGCAATTCGCGAGACAGACTATATTTTCCAATCATTGTTGTAACTCCAATCATATTTCAGCAGCTCGGTTGTCATTGTCAATCATGATTCGATTTATTATTCATTGTTAGTTCAGCTTATTCTTCAAACTCAGTCATGTAAACAGCTTTCAAAACAGCGTGCGCATATTTCCCCCTTTTACAAAGTTAGAAATCATTATACACGTAGCACATACACTTTCAACCGAAGAGGGTGCACGTATTAAGTTAAAAATTCAGCGCAATTGTTTCAGTCTAGTCTTTTTTGATAACATTTTTATACGGTTTTTCCAAATAAACGCAAACGCGTATCTGTCGCGTAAAAAGAGTCGAATATTCAGTTATTTCCCTCGCGAATATATATTTTACCCAATCCTGTCTCACTCTATTTCATTTTCGTGTTCGCCCCAGTTATGAAACGTAATGTCAAATAATTTAAAGAGGCGAATATGTAACGTTATTTAAGACCTTGGCGCGAAACCTATCTGTGAACGCGACGCCGCGGAAGCCGCCGCGACGTCTGTACGTCGCGCCGGCACCACCCGAGCAGATACCAATGGAGAGAATCAGTCAAATGCCCACGCTCAGGGACGAACTGGTACCAACGGGCACCAGCACGCTCCCGCTCATGGAGGATCTCAAACGCGACTACGACGGTCTCAACCTGGAAATAGGTCGTCTGCAAGACGCTCTGGACGCTCTCGTGCGAATGCAACGCAAGTACGTACAATTATTTTTTATGTAACCGCGTATTTACTCGTAACTCGGCGAGTAACGAACACAACAACGTATTAGTCTGTCCAAAGCAGGATTACCACTCATCCCGATTTTACCGAGACTGTCCCGATTTTTCATTATTTGTCCCGCATCCCGGCGGGATGACAGCCGGAACGCTAAATGTCTTGATTTTTAGAGAGCAGAAGTTTTAAATTATTTTGACAGTCATTTTGTGACTTTGTTTTTCCTATGTAAGCAGAAGCTTTAACGTAAAACCGATATCCCTTACAGAAATTTTATATTGTAAGTGATTATTTGGGCTAGTGATTGATTACTTTATTTTGAGTGTTAAAAGCAATGTTTTTAATGCTTTTAATACTCAAAATAAATCATTAATTGCTACTCAAATAATCACTTACACCTTACAGTATTAAATTGCTGTAAGGGATTACTAAAGATATTTACCCACTTTTGATCAACACTGAAAATATCAGTATTGATCAAAAGTGGGTAAATATCTTTAAAAGTGTAAAGGAAAAGAATCTACGATTTATCAATTGTTGTATCCTGTACTTTGAGCATTCCACCATCTAACGCGTTTGTGGAGCGAGTATTTTCCTATATCACTAAAATGGATAAATATTAGAATAAAAGGCCATACTAATGAAAAGATAAAATATACTATATGCATACTTGTAAATGTTTCTATTTATCAAACTTATTCCCTTCTTCCCCCAATTAAAAGTCCCGATTTCTGTTAAAGAAAAGGTGGTAATCCTGGTTCAAAGATAATTTTTTTTTAACACGTTGTCCAATCAGTAATTTTTATGTGACTTACGATGTACGTCACAACAGAATTTTCATTATTATAAATATATAATGATAAAATATTGTGTATTAAATTTTATTTTATATTGTGTCTAGTTATTGATGCTTTAGTTAGAAAGCGCTGGTTAGAAATGACCTACCATGGCAGTGAACGTGTTAATTGAAAAATTATACACGTTAATTTATGTAAAAAGTTAATTTTATCTTTGTGAATTTTCCCTTTTATTAAATTGGGTTTTTGTTTTACATTTTACGCTAGAAATTTTTCATTTCTGTCAAGTTAATTATAATTTATTATAACGTGACAAACTTGTGAAATGTTTGAAGAAGATATGCATAAATTTTATTATCATTCGTATTATTATGAATATATTTTTTTCATTAAGTATGTTTTTATTATCGTTTATCTACGCGAAAAGGTTAATCAAGATGGCTCTTCTCGACTTTCGAATATTTGTTACCTTGATAGCTATATTTTTCACCCGGTAGCTATATTTTCGGTCGGCGTGGTAGCTTGCATGGAAATACGTCAGTTTTTTAATCTTTTAAGAAGAAAAACACGGGGATAAGAGTTATTTTATCACTTCCCATTGCAGGAGCGCCGAGAGTAATCTTTACACGAAAGTAGCCGAGCTGCAGGAAGACATTTCTCTGAAGCGCCTCGACCTCGGTGTGGCGCAACTGCGTCTAGCCGCGGTGCAAGCACAGGTATGCAAGCACGTTCTTTGTTCTCCTTTAGTTACCGCCATATTACGCAACGTCCGTCGCGGACATTTATTACTTTATTCGTCTCTAATCCCGACATGCCGCATCTATCACTTTATTCATCCCGATGCAAAAAGCGTGTGCTCGTATTTATCATCCGACTTGCGCATCTCGAAACGCGATCCCGCAAGCTGTACGCCATTTATCGCAATAACACGGATTATATATGGAAAATAAGATATACATATTCAAATACAATTTTTTATAAAACTTGCTTACGGAGCAGTTTACAGCAATTCTACGCGCAACGTGCGCGAAATACAATATGTGTTGCGGAACAAGATTTCAGGTTAAATTCTAGAATAAATAGTCATATATATTAAATGCCTCTATGTTCTCGACCTGAAATTGATCAGACATCTATCCTCCACGTTCTCCCCCATTTCATCCAATTTGTCCGACCGCGCGTGGCATCGAGCCTCATCTATGTGCAGGGATGGATGCACCAGTGAAGAACTGCTCAATTGTTCGCACGTTATTAACTTAAAATGGAAATCGTGCACCATCCAGAATTGATAGAAAAAAGGAACTGTTAAAGATAACGAAGTCGCCGGTATTAATTACCAACCTCCCAAGTAACTAATTAATGCGGTAATAATTGTAAACTGATACGCAATCTCACGTTTGCAAAATAATTACGTTACTTTATGCTTTATGCGGTTATAAATATCACGAGCAAACCTACGTTCGTTATAATGTTGGAAAATTGGATTTATCTTCCCACGGGAAATTCAATTTTGTCAATGCGTTCCCAAAATAGATCAATTGCACACGATGGTGTAATTCAAAGAAGAAAACTTGATTTATTTCGAAAAGAGGAAACATTGTTGCGCATATAATCTAAAGAGGATGTTTTTAATTGTGGCTTGTAAGATAATTTTGGCGTACGAAAAAAATGACGTGCGCAGGATCGCGCGCGCATACTACAGGGTTCGCGGACGCGGTCTGCCCGGCCCAACGAATTCGGAGGCGCGATTTCTTGATGCATGTGTAACGTTGACAAATACGGACGGCTCACTTTCCAAAAGTTTCCCAAGTGGGAGGCTCGTCTGTGGCCATTCACTGGCAATTGGTCATTCACTGATGCGCTTTAGCCTAAACGCCGGATAAATACTGACGCGCGCGCAATCGCGCGACATGCGCCTTCGCAACTGGGTCATCGGCGAGCACGAGCGTCTGAAAATCCATTTCTGGCCTCGTCGAGAGAGTCCGTCTATCCAGGTCAGGCGAGCAGGATCGTTGCTGTCTGGCCGCGCGCTGCCGTTTTACCGCTCCTCGTCGTGTAATATCGAATCGTGATCGCGTCCAGCCCGAACGATGGGGTGGACTACGTTACGCACGCGAGTCGTTAGTATTTTTTTTTCTTCTGGTGAATTATTGTTCCTAGCACGCTAGATCGCGAGGCCAGGGATGCCGCATGATTCAGTGGACTCGCTCGACGAATAGGCCGCCCTGGTTGGAAAAGTGCCTAACAGTGCTCTTGATATCTATTATTGTTATTAAGAATATCAGCATTTGGCTATCTGGTGATACTATTCCAATGTCGATACAATATTGTTACTTATTGATTTTCGTTACACTCTAAATTAAATCTACCGTGATTTTACCGTTTAACAGTAACATAAAATAAAAAGACTTGAAAAATGTATATTAATGTATTAATCAAGTTTATATAACGATTATACGAACACGGGGACGTTATGTTATTAGACGGATAAGGAGTTATTCATTGTGAAGTCGAGCACAAAGAGGCTAATGTTGCGGCGGTGAACAATGGCCGAGTATGTTCTCAATGACCACGCGGGATCAATGAAAGTTGACATGCACGTATTGTCAATGAAAACATTCCCGCAGTTGAAAACGATCGAATCGTGGTGATAGATCCATGGAAACATTTCAACCAGAGCGGTGTATTGACGCATTTTCATCAGGCTAGCGTGTGTTGCTAAGCGCGTATTACGACAGAGATGAAACTCCTAATCGCGCAACGAGAAAACTTTATCCCTATATCCTGTATAAAGTACAAAAGTGCAGTAACGTAGCTCGGTATAATCAGTTTAAAAGCTTATGAAAGAACCGTTCTTACATGGTTTATAAATTATTTTTTAGAGGGTTAGGGTCGATAAGAAGGGGTAATTGTTGTTTACGTTGAGATTTATATGCAGCAATTATTGGCGACTATCAATTTCACTTATTTAGATTGAAAATACCCAGGATTTTGAATTGAAACGTGCATGCATTCATCAAATCGCCAGGTTCGCGCGTAAATTAAACTCACGTAATCTTGCTATCTTGTGCGCAATCAATATCCGCAAGACGGCATATGTAATATAATATGATAACAGCAGAGGAGTCGCTGGGATAATACTCCCCACGTGGATATAGATTAAACTCAATTTCAAGTCACGTGTCTGTAGGGCTTGCTCCTTACTCATTCACGGGGACGCATAAATGATACGCGAATTGATACGCAAAGAAGCGTGATTGTCGTGATTGTCGTTTAAGGGTGATTCTGTGTGCAACGGTAATGGACTCTTCTCTTGTTCACGAAGCGTAAACTTATAGCCGTACTCGTAGTCAGCTTCCTTGAGTAAGGATTCCTTGTTCCTCATTCTACACTTCATAAATTTTAAGGTTCCTTGATCGATCAAGGAAGGTTAATGAAATGTAGAATAATTAATAAGGAACAATGAAATCCTTATTCCTCAAGGAAGGACTATGAATACGGCTGTTCGTACAGAACGTCCTAAATCACCTTTGCATATGGATTAATCGATATTAAGTCCATAATTCCTTACTGGAAATTTTTTTCACGTAATATCTTATTCATAGTGATTTTATTTTCAATTTTAATTATTTCGATAATTAAGCCTTGAGGTAAAATTTTGTTAAGATCTAATTCAACGAAATTAAATAAAATAAGTTTTAACATTTGCACATTTCGAACTCTTTTAAGTCTTTTATTTTCAAAACTTTAATTATTCGATACTTTTAGATTTTATTTCTAAAAATAAAGAGAATATATCTCAACATTAGAAAGGCATTATACATTTCACAAAAATAATAATAAACTTTTCCAGAAGTTAGTTGCTACAAGAAAAATCGCGGAATAATTATACATGCATTAAATATATTATATTACATATTATTAATGTAATTATTAATGTAATTATTAAATATATTATTAATAATTATTAAAAATGTGTTATACATAAAAATATATATATTTTCTATGAATTGCCACCTACAGAAAGAACTTTTCGGGGGCGGGGAAGCTGGTCAACCGGATGGAGTGGCCAGTCGGAAGATGTCGAACGGTTCGACCGGAAGCCCCAAGCTGAAATGGCTGAAAGCGTTCAAGAGCCTAAAGACCAGTTCGCCCACGACACCGCCGCTGTCTGACAAGTGAGCTACTTATTTCCTTTCCATTTATACCAATTTCCACCACGTGCATGCCGCGAAAAACCCCGACAAAGTTTCCGACGCGACGAAGATGGTTTTCTACACCCGGGCGACCCCCGGGAATTATATATATTTTATTCTCTATATGTACTCTTCGATACAAGTCCCGGAAATGAAAGAGGATCCACTTTTGCTTTTTCGAGTTGATCCGACATTGATTGTTTCATCCGTGTTTCTCTTTGCTAAATTTTGTTTCGCGACGCTCAGTAGAGAATAGCGCAGCTGGATGCACTCGTGGGATGCGCAAATTGAAATTCGAATACCATCGTCACCATCGAAAGGAAATAAAAACATGCAATGATATATAATTCGAAATTCTACTTCAAAGAGATGTACCACTAAAAATCATAACTTTTCTTCTATGCTCTCACATAGTACATACATATTTATATTAAAAAAGAACTGTTTTTTGCGAATCCTACGTGACGTATGCATGAGCAAATAAAATATAACGAATGCTCTTCAAAGACTAGTTATCGCTTCATCGTGATGTAGATAGATAACTCTAATTCGACGTTGCCTTTTCCATCCGTTATTTCAATAGGGAATTAGAAATTTTCTCGCAAATTTCTAGAACGTTAAACGTTAAAATAGGAATGTAGTCACCGTAGCACTCTTATCCTATATCGCTGTATTAATTGAATTAAATGCGAAAGTTCTGCAAGGAAAGCTTGTGTTTGTGTTTCGCAAACAATTAATTCGTCAAACATTTCACTTGCAATACGATAACGCCGCCATCTCGGAAAACAAACGGCATAGAGCAAATAAAGTTTTTCTTGCTGCACTTTCGCACACCTATATAGAAACGATGTTGTCAAAGTCAATTCTCAAAGACGAGACGTTCGAGTTAATATATGCTTTTACTTCCGTGTGCTTTGTAAGTTTCCCAATTAGGGGAACCATAGACGTTAGACGAAAGGGACTTTGAATAACCGTAGATACTGTTTTGCGAATGCTCGACTAATAAAGAGGAAAGCAGGCAACCATGTACCACGCAGTTTCCACCGTCGTCACCATGTCCAGGTAAGTTTCCGATTGTTCGTCAACAGTTGCCATTTGCGATTCTACTTCTGACATTTGAAGAAGGATATTATACTTGAAGCGTTCACAACTATTTACTACACTGAGAAAAAAATGTTCTGGATTTTAGTAAATATTAGTTTGCATACAACTGTGACTCTATTTACCAAAATAAAGCAAATTTTCCTTTTTATTAATATATGTGCATTCACTAGGAAAAAAATATACTAATAAAAAGGAAAATTTTCTTTATTTTAATAAATGGAGTCACAGTTGTATATGCAAACTAATCTATACTAATATATAAAATCCTTACGGGTGGTGTATGTTTGAACGTTAATAACTTGAAAATTATTGGACCCAAATTTTACTACAAGTATATGAAATAGGGGTAGAATGTTCTGGAATGTGCTATAGAGTGTGTATTTTTTCGTTACCGATTTTCTGGAAACCGATTTTTTTAATTCTTTATTTTTTAAATATTAAA